TACAGTCGAGAAAAATAACAGGACTAGTATGGAAGATAATTAGCCAAACCACTATCTAGGTTATTCTTCTTCTGCTTAATTGAGTCTATTAGAGGTAAGATAGAGCCGGATAGTCTTCTTGCACTAGTGTTAACTTGAAACTTTTACAGGAATGAGATTCAGGTCTGAGGAAGTCTATCATATGATGGACAAGAGCTCAGCCCGTTTTCACCCGAAAAGAGAGAGTTCTCGTGGATCAACCTGAACGTCGTATAAAAGCCAAACGACTGCAGTACAACGGAATTCATCCGTTCTTTTCTGATTAGATCGACATACGAATATCTTCTTCATGCACCTTCATACGAAATGAAAGTCCTCCCAACAATGTTACAAAATTGTGCGCATTTGTAGTCAGCCTTATGTTTTTGAGACATGCAGGTCTATTGGACAAATGATAGGGGGACACAAAAATGTTTTTAAGGAGCTAGGTCCAGAGACAGAAATTGTCAAACACATGGGAGAGACTAGACATGGTCTCAAACGATTCGGTTTGCTGATTACGGTACGTATGTTTTTAAAAGCTAGATAATAGAGGTTTTTGAGACTAGTAAAAAAGCCAATGCATTGAGCGTTAACAATAGTAGAATTGAGTTTAAACTACTTATGATTGATTGATAGATTGAAGAGAAGAGGGTGTTGAGCCACCATCCAAAAGGTGATTCTACTTGTCCGTTGCGTGGTGGTTATAACTACACACACACTCGTCCAGCATGTTAGATTAATATCATAAACCAAATCAGACGAACGAGATTACGCAGCACTAGTCATATCTGTCATTGGTTGGTTAAGCTTCATTGACCATAGACTGAGAAGTTATGACATATGGTTTCGTAACTTGACTTGCACACTTACAAGCTTGCATCTCATGATGTAAACCACAATTAATTACCAACTTACAGTCTTGGTTATGGCTTTTTCTTGAGTAATTAAGGCTTGATGACCAGACTGAAATTAGCCCTTTTTGATCACTCTGATTTAGGACCGTTATTGTGTGTAGGCGTTAACACACACACACGCACAATCAAGCAATAGTAAGAGTATGAAAGATATGAAGAACAAGATGGTGTGGCCCCCGGTATGGTCGCAGCCTACTTTCGATTTATAGAAGTGGGTTGACCTCGTCGCAACTTAGTTTTGTCAAGGGGGACTTAGTAAAACGCACCTTGCCCGAAGTCCTTTGCCATAGTAGTTATCATAATCGCAAGCATCAGATAGTAAATATAGTAAATTCGCAGGCGTTTCGCCGGCATAATCAGTGAGTGCCGCCATTCTCCGCACCAAGCTACCAACTCGTCAGAGACAAGTGAAGTCAA